CGGTACTATTCCCAAACTTGGTGAAATAATCATATTATTTAGTACTTTATTTTTGTTTAAAACTACAGTAGTTTGGCACTATGATCTATTGTCAGAAAAACAATGATTATTTGTTTCTGACTAACTTCTACTCAGCTTATAAAAAAATAGTCATCTCTACAACCTTTCATTATAAATAAAATATCTTCTTTTATCTGGTACATTTGTGTTTCAGTTTAATCTTCTTTTATTTAAAGTTTCTTTATTTTGTGGAGCCACAATAGGTTTTTATTTAAGGCAATTAAACTTCTCTAATAGTTTATCATATCTTGTCTTTAATGAACAAAAATTAAAATTCTTTAATGAAAAGAAGAAACTTCTGATTATAACTCTAATGACAAACACTGAAATTTCATAAGTTTAAGTCGGAGACTATTAATATATATTAAAAGGTAATATTCATTAATGAATTAATTCCATTTACTTATTGGTTATGAACAATGTTAAAGAATTATAATTGATAAAAAAGATATATTTTTTGATCGAAGAATAGGTATTATCTTTTATAATACATCATTTATTAAACTTTTGTTTAATGCTTGTTCATTACCTTTAGCTTCTTTTGCATTCATTTGGTTTATTCTTGGTTTTGTATTTAACAAGTTGTTGGTTTTTATTGAGAATGAGACTTTCTACCAGTAAGTAATAACTAGAATATAATAAATAAAAAAATATCTTCTATGTTAATTTGGTTGTTGGTTAATTTGTGTAGGAAAAACAAAGGGATAGATAAGATAACTATAAAGATTCGGATGAGTGATCTCGACTGAGGTAGAAGTGATGAATTGAAAAAGAGTTTCACAAGCCTTCTCACAACAAAGATGCCTTGAATAGTCAAGGATGGTGTTGATAGTTTTTCCCTGTTCAGTAGGAAAGTACTTATCAATGTCTTCTATGTCATAGTGTGGTGGGACTTTTTCCCAATCTTTGAGGTAATTAACTAGAATTTCTTTAAGGTCACGTTCGTTGTGTTTAATGAGATCGAATGGACAACCATGAAACTGATTGAGACCAACTTCTTTACTTCTTACATTAAGACAACTCCAAACTGGTTCAGTGATTTTAGAACCTTCTAAGCCATAACAATGCCGAAAGTAATAATATAATTGAGGTTCTTTATCGAATTTTTCTTTCATATAAGTAGTAAGGAATAAAGCTAACTGTTGCTGAGGGAGTTGGAAGTGATAAAAGAATATACCAATCTGGTGCCTTGAGTCAAACATAACATTTCTTTTTTTCTTCATATTAAAAATAATGTTGTACATACATAATGGTAATACTCTTAAATTTTCATTCAAGGTTTGTGCAGTTAGTTTTGAACCACAACCAAAAGATGTTAGTTCACAGGGAGAACGAAGAGTGAACAAATTCATTTTTTGATTGATTAACCGTTTTAAAGGTTCTAATTCTTTTGGCATTTGGACGTTTAAAAATTTATCATTTTGAAGTATACTGAAAAATAAACAAGAGAGCACAATGTCTGATTCAGAACGAGGAACTCTAAGTAATCCATTTTTCATTTGGTATCTTCTTGAAGTAACCATTGGCATAACTTTGTCAAAGGGGATATAATAGAATAAATTATCTTCCGAAGTAGTTATTTTTTGATTTTGTAAAAGCAATGATATACGATGAGGATATGACTGAAGATGGATAAGAAAGAGAGTTGTTTCAAGATATACAAAAAGTTCGTGAACTTGTGAGAAAGAGAGATGAAGAATAGAATTAGAAAAAAATATTCTAAAGAAATAAAAAGATACATAATCAAATGGTATATCTGATTCATTTGGAAAACAGTCTTCAAATGGTATGTCTTTGTGAAATAAACGAATAGGATAGAATGTTGTTGCATTTTCATAAGTAAAAAATTGAGATTTCATTACATTATGATACCATTCAAATCTTTTTTCTATTGCATCATAAACAGTTGATAAAGGTAATGTTTTAATATATGATTCGAAATAAGAAGATTGATTTAAATGTGAAGGTAAAAAGATTTCAGGATAAGTATAATTTAATGATGGAATAGGAAGAAAAGAAGGGTTAGGAGTAGTCATTTGATAGAAATAAATAACAGAAAAAGAAACTAAAAAATGTTTTTTATCAAAAAATAATAGATTTTCTTACATTATAAGATGTCAAGTAATAAACTTATTCAAAAAAGAGAATTTGTCCCATTAGAAGAATATACAGGAAGAGTAATTTATAAATCATTTAAAAAGAATTATCATAAACATGATGGGAGTAAAGGAACTATTGTCACATTTGTTCTTCAAGATAAAAGTGGGGATGAAGTAAAATTAGTAATTTTTGATAAACAAGTAGATGATTGTTATGATAAAATTAAAGAAAATGAGACGTGGACATTTAATAATTTACAAATAAGAGAATTAAATCCATACCAAGACAAAGAGTCATCAGAAATGATGAAAAGTGAAATAAAATTTTATCGTGAAGCTACTTACAATCGTTCAAAAGAAGAAATTCCTTTGATTATCCTCTATATCAATAAAATATTTCCTTTTTCTTTTTGTGAAAACTTATTAAATGATGCAAATTTTGTTTGTTTCTGTTTAGAAATAGAAACAGAACATATTTCCTCTAGTTATAGAGGAAAGTTCCAAGAAATTGAAATGAGAGTTGCTGATGTTTCTAGACGTTCGATTATTGTAAGGTGTTTTACTTGCAAATGGAATCAATGGATTAAAGAAAATATTAAAGTAAATACAGTTTTCTTACTTGGAAGGTGTCACATCAATCACCAACCAGAAGGGCGTTATTGTATTATTAGAGAAGGGAGTTATTTAAAAGTTATTAATTCTTATAATGATATTCCTCAACACCTTGCATGTCAAGACACAGAGTATGATGATCTGCCACCCAATATGTCTCATGGACTTTCACAAGATGATTATAATCTATTAATTGAGATAAGAAAAAATGTAGCACACATTAATTTTATTTCTGTCTCTCCTCCTCATTGTAGAAAAACACATTCTCAAATAGCTGCTATTTTTTCTTTGAATGATTACATCAATGATGTTCTTATAAATAATTCAAAAATAGATAGAACTTATTGTGTTATTGCCTATTTACAACGAATCCAAATATTAAATTGTTTTTATAATGGTTGTGCCACATGCAAGAAAAAAATAGAACAAGATAATTGTCAATGTCCTAAATGCAAAGATACAACAAGAAAAGTTTGTTATAAAACTAACGCCCTTTTGTATGAGACTCAAGAAGATGCTGAGTCTAATAGAAATAGTCATTGGGCATATATATCAGAGTCTTGTGCTGAAAAATTTATAGGTAAGACTGCACAAGAATTTCAAGACATGGATGAACAACAAAGAAGTGCTATTGTTACACCATTATTTTCAAAGAAATATCAATTTGTTGTAAAGGGAAAAATAAGTGATAATCCAAAATATGCAGGAAAAGTTTGGACAACAATTTCTGAGTTAACTCCTGTTGAAGAACAATAGATTTTAATTAATTTGTTTTTGTTAAATGAAGGAAACGGCTTATCTTCTCTCTTCTCTTTCTTTTAAATATTTCTTTTGTTTCATCCCTTTTATTTTTATTAGACTGAATGGCAACAATGACTCTCTCTTTTTCTCCATTAAATGAAGGGTCAAGTTGTTTGTTTAGTATTTTATTCTTTTTTTTCAGTATTTTTGCATTAATCCCTGCTAGTTTTAATTCTAATTTAGTGTCAATATAATCCAATTCCTCCATAACTCTGGTTGTATTTTCTTTGCCTTCATTATTGTAATAACTTTGTTCATGAATAATACCTTTTGTTGTTGCATCATTTTTATTTTGGTCATAAATATCACTTGACGTAGAATTTTTATCCATAACAGAACTTGAAAAGTCTTCTTTTCTGATATTTCTCTCATCATCTGGCACTGGACTGACACTTCTTGAAGGTGGACCATCTACTAAATCATCATTTTTTATTTTAGTATCAAGGGGAGATGTTATTAATAAAGGATTTAGACTATCGCTTGTTGATTCCATTTCAATATTATTTTAGTTTCTTACTCTTAAATTCGGTTAAATATAAGAACAGGATACTAATATCTTGGTTAAATGAAAAAATTCATACAAAGGTAACAAAAAAGATTCAATCTAATCAGTTTAAATAAATGGAGTTTCTTTTCGTTTTAAACGACTTAAATTATGGAAGAAGTGAAAGAATTCCAAGATGAATATGTTTTGAGAATGCATTTCTATAATAAACAAGAATATTTCCATTGCTTAATATTAAACTAATAAAGTTAGAGTCTAGTCATTAAACTTTAAAAAGAAAAAAACAAACTCTTTATGTTCTTTAATAATTTCATTGTATTTATTCAAATAAATAAATCCAATTCCATAACCCGATCCTCTTTTTAATGAATAACCTCCTTTGATAATTCTACCAACAACATTTTCATCTAATTGTTCTATTTTAATACAACAACTTGTTTTAAATTGTTCAAGTAATTGTTGTTCTGGTATATGGATATAAGCAAATCGTTCAGGACGTCCATTAACAGATATTAATTCAAATCTAATAATTTTGTTTTGACTATCTTGAATTATATGAAGTTGATGTTCATTTTGAATAAATTCTTTTCTACGAATAACTTTAAATCCTTTCCAATTCATTTCCCATGGTATTTGATTTTGAACAGAAAATGTCTGAATATTCATTTTTTTTGATTTAGGTTTCAAATTAGCTTGTTTTATTAAAATACCTTTTTGCTCTTCACTCATTTGTTGTGAATATTCATTGTCAACATAATCATCAGGATATGTCATTAACCCTGCTTCATATGTTAAGTATTTTCTTTCCTTTAATGCTAATGGTAATACACAATGCCATACTATTCTTCTCCAACAAGTTAATGCAAATAAACTAGGGACAATAAGAAAATAACCAGAAGAAAAATGACTACCATCTGATGCATTAACTTTATTTGCCATTAATAACAAAGGAATTTCTTTTTGCTCTGAAATAGCTTTTCTTGCTTCTAAATAATTATTAAATGATGAAACATCACTTAAATTAATTATTTGTTCTAGTGTTTGTGAAACTAGTTCTGTTGAAATTACATTAAATAAATCCTTATGACTAGTTAATTTTGTTATTGGTTCTTTTTGTTTATCATGTTTACTATAAAACTGTGATATAGGATTATTGATGTCAGCAATCTTAATTTTTAGTGGAATTATAGACGCATTTGGCGTATTTTCTGGAGGAAGTTCACATATTCTTCTCAAAACTTCTACTCCTTTATCTTCTTCAACAAAGTCAAAAGAATTTAGTAATGAACGATGAGAATTACCTCCAATTATTTCAAATACTCCTAACCTTTGCATTAATTTTAACTGAATTTTTTCTTTATCAAATGCTTCCACAATATCTGTTTTACTAACTGGATGCACAAAAATGACAATTCGTTTTTCATTTAAAAGTAATTTAATTGGTCCAAATTTTGTAGTATTTGCAATCCACATTCTCCATTCATTTTTATTAATAATTTCATTTAATTGTAATACCTTCATACATATTTCTCTATTGTATTGATTATTTTCTAATTCATACTCAACATAATAACTTTGGTCATAAACAACACTTCTTTTCTCAGCTGCGTTTAATAATACTCTTAGTCCTTTGTCATTTCTTTCATCAGCAATTTTAACACCCCACATTTCTTTCATATGACACCTTTTAGCATGCCAAGTATGTGTCATCAAATATTGACTTTTTCCCCATGAATATTCTTTGAAGTTTCTTCTTAATGACCTTCTTGACCTTCTAATCTTTTTTTGCATCTTCTGTGCTAAAGTTTTATTGTCTTTCATTTCTTTTTCATTCTTTTTTTTCTCTCTTAATGCATTGGCAATAAACCTGTGAGGAAGTACATGACAAAAATGTGAAGCTTGTCTTCTTCTAAGGTGTCTTGGAACTGCTTGATGTACTGTTCGGTTACCTGAATAAACATTTAATTGATCAGTAAACTTCTTTATTTCTTCAATTCTAGAAGCAGTCAATTCTCCAACGTTGAGAGTGGTATTTGATTTTAATTTATCTTTGTGGTATCTTCGTTCAGTATAACTCATATCTGATTCATAATAACTATTAAAACATCCAAAAACAATAAAAAACTGAAAGGGTTATTTAATAAAAAATATTTGTTTGTTTTTTTTTTATAAAAACTTTTGAACTCAATTTCAATGGAGAAATTAGAAGAAGAACAAACTGAATTAATCAGAAAACCTCTAAACGAAAATGGAGTTGATGTGACTGAAATTGAAAATCATGGAGTTATTATCATTAATAATTCTCCTGAGTCTATTGAAGTCATTAAACCAAATGAATGTAATATCCAATTAGTCTCAGAAAATGTAAGGAAAAACTTGATAAATTCAACGTCAAGCAACCCACAAGTTGCTGCACAAGTTCAAGCTGAAATGCAGAAGGTTTTATCTCAGCTCGACCAAATGTAATTGAACTTTTATTAATGAATTAGCACTAAACAATACAACAAGGTTTTGAAGGTATTTTAATACCAAAAAAGATATCATTAGTATTTTGATTAGAGAATGGTGGAATAAAAATATTTTGAAGTTCATTACAATGAGAAAAGGCATGATATCCAATACATGGAGAACCTTCTACTTCAACTGAAGTTAGTTCATAACAATTATTAAATGCTTCATCTCCAATAGACACTATAGAAGCTGGAAGTGAAATAGATTTTAAATGTGAACATCCCATAAATGCTCGAGACTCTATGACTTTTAATGATGTTGAAAAAATTATTGATGTTAAAAGAGTACATTGATAAAATGCATTAGATTCAATCCGAGTTATGCTATTTGGTAAAATAAGTTGAGATGGCATAATATATTTAAATGCATTCCTTCCAATAACATTTATTGTGGGTGGGATTTCTTCCGTTATTTCAATGCAATCATCAGAAGTTAATACAATATAGTTAGAAGAAGGAGTTTTATTATCCAAACTTTGTTTATTAGTAATACATTTTAAGGAACTTAGAAGGGGTGGGTTGATTTTAACCAAATTACAGCCATCAAAACAAGACACCCCAATATAATTTAGAGAAGATGAAAAGTGAAGTTGTTTCAAAGAATGACATCCTTTAAATGCTTCTTGACCCAATTCAATAATATTTGAAGTGTTAATAATTTCAGTTAATGACAAACAATTTTCAAAAGAAGAATGTCCAATTCTAGTTATACAAGAAGGAAGAACAACATCTTTTAATTGAGTACATTCTTTAAAACAATTGTCTGGGATTTCCTTTATTAATAAAGGTAATACAACATGTCTTAAAGATTTGCAATTCTCAAAACTAGAAATACCAAGATGAATCAATGAAGAACATAATACTAATTTACTTAACGAAGAACAATCTGAGAAACAATCTGAACCAAGTGAAGTTACTGTTGATGGAATTAAAATACTTTTAAGATAAACACTTTTAGTAAAACAACAATCATCAAGATCAGTAGTTAATTTAGGAATATGATGTTTCTTTGCATTTTTATCTTTTTTGAAAACAACTCTCTTAAAAGAAACATTAGACCTATTTAATTTTTTAGCTTCAGTATGTGTTAATAGACAACGATATACATATTTAGAAACTCCTTTAATTCTTTTGTCATTCTTATTGAAGAGATATTGGGTTTTTATTTGTGGAAATAAACGAAGTGAGTTAACTGAAATTGGATTTGATTGAAAATAACTGAGAACAACTTGAAACCGTTTGGATATTAGAATAAAATTGATAAAATCTGACTCAGTTTGTAGGTATTGTGCAACAAGGAATAATGGGTCAACTTCAAATGCAAAGAATCCAAAAGTGTCTGTCTCTGCGATTGCTAATTGAATTTGTTCTGAGTATGCAGTTGATGTAGAAGAACATGAAGATAAGGTAATACTTTCTTCAGAAGACATGAACTTAAAGAAATTGAAGTTCATATTAAAAACAAACGAAAAGAGAAGATTTAACATTTTTAAAAAAGTTAAACAACAACAAAAAAAAAATTTAAAAGAAATTTATTGAGGTTTAACAAGAACTAAATATTATTCAATCGAATGTTGTGGAAATATTTAATATATCTTTCATTTCTTTTTATATTTTGTCATGCTTTAATATGTAATGAAACCAACTGTAGTACTATTGAAAATAACTCAACTAAAGAATCAAAAGAGTTTATTCAAAGTAAAAACAAAAAGACACATAAGACAAGTTTTAAAGAAAAAAGTAAAGATAGTCAAACAATAAAAATTAAACATTCAACAAACGCAATAAAAACAAATGATACGCAACAAAATATAAAAAAATATAAAAAACATCAACTTATTCACAAAAATCAATTGAAAGGAAGTGAAAATAATACTATTGATAATGGTATTGAAGAAATCACTAACAACACTATCATCACTCAAGACCCTATTTCTAAAAAAAAGAAAATAATTGAAAAGAAAAAGAAAGCAATTACTAAAAAACATTCTGAAAAACATGAAAACAATAAAACTTCTTTATTAACTAATACTACAAATACAACGAATAATTCGTTAGAAAACAATAGTAAAATATCACTACTAACTAATAAAAAGACAAAAGAAAAAAACAATAAAGAAAAAGGTGCACAGAAGAAACAAATAAGAAATGAAAAAAAAAGACCCAAAGAAGGAAAAGTGAAAGACCAAGAAAAAATTATGAAAAAGAAATTTATTGAAGAACGTTCACGTATTAAAAAAGAAAAAAATAGAGAAAGATATCAAGAAAAATTAAAAGAAAAATTGCAAAAGAAAATTAATGGAAAACAATCAAAAAAGAAAACTACTTTCAAAAGAGTTCACAACTAAAAAAAGATATTAACTCATAATAATGTTTTGCAAAATGATCGATGTTAATCAAAAATATTTATTGAATTGGTAAAGTATATGGAATAAAAATTATTATATTTTTTTTTTTAATTATAAAGAATGGTAAACTTTTCTTTTTTTTTATAGTTCTTTTACTAAATTTTAACAATTTATTTAAATAAACTAACTTGAAAAAATAAAAATGAAAATTTTTATAACTAATTATTCATTTTAAATAATAATGAATTGGAAATTTATTATTAAAAATATTCCACTTCTATTGATTAGTTCAATTTGTATATTCTTCCTTTTAGTTATATTACCAAACGTACATAACATAACACAAAAAGAACTTACACAAGTAGTTAGTGAATCAATATTATATAATAGTTTATTCATTTTTTCACTTATTATTATTATTCCATTAATATTTGGGTTATCATACCTCATTCATTTTATCTTTATACCTCATTTTGTTGCTATGGTTAATCCTGTTGTTGTTCCTTGTAAAGGAAGTTCAATTGCTTTATTTTGTGTTGGAACTCTTTTATTGATAGAAATTTTTATACAAAATGCTTCATTAAAGAATATTTTTCATACACTTTCATTAATATGCTATATTATACATGTTGGCACTTATTACTATATTGTAAGATTATGCCCTTTTACTATGTCATTTATTAGGTCAAGAATACAATCAGTAAAAGTAATACTAACTGTAAGTCTTATTATGACATTACTTTGTAAATTAATTTTAAAAGGAAGTTTGTTTTTTATTAATTTTGTTAATAACAATCTTCATTCTTATCCTTAGCAATTGCTATTCTTTCTGATTGGCTTTCAATATTATTGGCAATTATTATTGCTAGTTGTTACTACAAAGATATCAAAGAATTTGTAGTGAATTATTATAATGATGTAGAGTCACAAAACAATGTTGAAACATTAACAGATTTAGACCCTTTAACAATGAAAGAACTCGAAGAACCAAGTGATGTTGTGATTATCTAAAACTTATACTTCAAAAATTTACGATTTATTAATTCAACTAAAAACAAACTTTTTTTGTTTTAATTTAAAAAGTTGAAATGGATCAGAGAAGTACGATGATTAATTAACATAAATTAACATCTTTAAAGGAATTTAACAATAGTTTATTAACTAACTTCTCTTTAATTTCTTTTTATCTTTTATTGCTTTAAAAGAATAAAAAACACCCATAATAAGTACTTACAATATATTTCTTTAATAAAAAACTAATTTATCCTTCATCTATAATTTGTTTGTTTGAGTTAAATAATTGAAGAACTTTAAAAAATTAAATGATATATTAAAAACTTTATTTTATCACAAAAACTACTATTACATTAAATCACAGTCATTTTCTTTTCTAATACGTCTAACTCTGTTATTTTTTTTTCTGTTGGTATTTTGACGTCATGAATGATTTCTTTTACTAGTTCTTGTTGTTGGGATAATTGTGTCAATTCTTGTAATTTATTTTCACTTTGAATTAAATGGGTTTGAATTTTTTTTATTTGATCAACACAACTTTCAATGTTTTGTTGAGAGTTTTTATTGGCTTGATTATATCTTTCAATCTTATTATCAAAATAACTTAAAATATCATCCCAATTCTGTACTGATTCTTTCATTTGTGCATTTTTCAAAGTTATAATATTCTCTTGCTTTTTTTCTCCAAGCATTCCATTCTTTAATACATTTAATTCCCATTCGTTCATTTCATTATCACTTGACTCACTCATATCTAATTAATTCTTAAAAGTTCTCATTATTATTTTTGAAGAAAGAAAAAAACATGTTTTAGTATAATATAATAATTACTTTTTTCTTTCTATTATTGTATAAAAATTATACTAAACTTTGTTAATACTAATGAAAAGGATTTTAAAATTTTATTATCACTAATAACCTATTTCTTCACTTGAAAGAATTATTAAGATGATTTTGGTCTAAGAATTTATACTAAAATCATCAAACCTTTTTTATTCTTCCAAGCTTTTGCTTTGAATTTTGTTCTAAATTTTTATTGATATAACTTATAATCGTGTTAATTTATTTGGAAAGATTTATACTGTAGAATTGTATTGACTTACTTATAAACTCTTAATATTTTAAACTTCTTTATTCCACAAGAGAATCTTATCAAGTAAAATAGTTCTTTCCGAATAAAAGAAAACTATTTAAAATGTAAATAACTTATAACATTAAATATCAAAACTTTAATAAACATGAATAATGACACGAAAACTATAAATCAATTATCAAAACAGTAATGGGTCACGTGTGTTTATATAAAATGAACCATTTGGCCTTGACTCAAAAATTGATGAAGAAACATAACAACGTTTAAATGGAAATGGAAGAATCCAATGGAAATATGTAGCTTCTTGAATTGAAGAAAAATGAAGAAATATAACTCCAGACTCTGTACAAAATGAAGATATGTATGTTGGATTTAAAATTAATAATTCAGCATTAATATCAGATTCATTTAAAATTGAAAGAAGTGTTTTAGTTTGAAAATATTGAGGAAGTGAATAAATCATAACAGTGTCATATACATCAACTTCACTGATAATTATATCTGATTCAATGTTAGATAAAGAAAACTGACTATCAGTTGTTGTTAAAGACCTTTGAACACTTTTATACATAAATAACATATCTTGTAATTCAAATGTAGTTGTGGCTGTACTTAATAATACCCATGGAACAAAGGGTGGAAGGACTGAAAAAACAATATTTGTTGATATTTGTGGTTTATCAGCATAAAAAGAAGGAGAAGTTACTATTCGTTGAGTAGAATAATCAAAATTAAGGTAATAAATCAGGTATTGATTTAATAACTCTCCAAGAGAAAGATCTTTTGGGACATGACTATTGACACAATAAGGACATTCACTCCATTCTACTTTTTGAAGAGTACATAATGGCTTATAAGTATGAATTATATGATTAGGAGAGTTACAAGAAGTAATGTCTTGAAGAGAAGGAATTCCAATGTTGTGAAGAAAATGAACAACCATAACTCTTGTTAATGTTGAAAGGTGTTGGTTTGTTGGAAATAAGTTTTGGTGAATAAGATCAACACATTCAAATAATAAAGAAATAGATGGATGTAATTTTTTATAAGACTCAAATAACAAATAGTTATAATATCCTTCATATCTGTCAATAGATAACTGAATATAAAATTCAGGGTATGTTATTACTAGTCCTGGAATAGAAGTATTTGTAATTTCTGCTTTTTGATTTAGTCTATTAGCCATTTGTGTCAATTTCTTAATAATAGTTGATTTCTTGTATGATAGATAAAGGTTTTGATAATTGTTATTTGAAGAAGAGAATTTGACCATAGAACTAAATTTACTATTTAACTGAAACTGACTTCCTTCAAGTATTGAATAGCAATAAATTGGTTTTGTAAACCTATGTATATTAGTTATAAATAATTGTGCTTTAGGAAATAATTTTTTAATTGTATCATCAATAGATTTGGGTTGTGGGGGTAAACTTTGAATTAACTTTTCATCAATACATTTAATGTTAGTACTAAGACTAGTCTTTTTGATTTCAATTTGATACTTTTCTTTTAACCAATTAAAAAGACAAGTCTCAGTCATTTAATATAAACAATAAATATATAAGTTTTAATAAAGTAAAAAAGATAAAAAAAAAACAAGTTAAATTAAATTAATTTCTGTTTTTTATTTTAATTGATAAAAACATTATACAAATACGCGTACACAATCACATTTTGAGATTGTAGTTATTCCTCCAATTTGTCAATACAAGTTTAAATTAATAATCTTTGAACAATCTTGTTATTTCTCTTGTTTCACTCAATTCTATAAATACATTCTTGTTATTAAAGAATTTCACCTAAACTTTCAGGAATAAATCCTAAAATGACATTAAAAGAATTTTGTTCAAAAGAAGAATTTCCAAAGGAAAAAACTATAAAAAATAACAAAAATAAGTATTTTTAAACAAGAAAAAAAGCAGTTCGCAAAAATAAAAAAGAAATAATAGAAATATCCAAAAAAGAAAAAAGAAAATCATAAATAAAATAAATTATTAAATTAATTTTGAAAATAGATTTCGTGAAGGAAGTTCTAAAAAAAAAAAGAAGAAAAAAACCTATAATACAAAAAGAACTGAAATTCATTTATTTCAATTTTAATTAATTATGTCTAGTTTTATCAAATCAGTCTCTAGTACTGAAATTAAAAGAGAGTCAAAGTCATTTGAAGCAGTTCAACAAGCGGTACTAATTGCTTTATTAAATTATTTAGGTTATTCAATAGAAATTAAACATCCAGAACGTCTTGCTGCTAAAACAGTACAATTTTTAATAGTGACAGAATTGTTTTATGAAGGTAAATCACTTAATTTTGGTGAAGAAATAGAAGAAATTTGTTCTAAACGATATGAAGGAGAAAGAAGTGCTGCTCCAAATATTAAGAAAATTCGTCAAACACGTAGACATAAAGATATAAATCGTGCAGCACTAACATTCAACAGATTATTAAAACTTGTTGAAGACCATGGCTACAAGGTAAAAAGAAGATACACTAAATCATCTTTTAAAACATTGAGAATGGAAAAGATTACTGATATTTTATTAAATGAAAAAATTATTATTGACACTGTACAAATAAATAATATTGGAAGAGCTGTTAATAGTGTTATCACTAAAACATTTAAAAAAGGTCCATATAAAACTACAATGATTGAAGTAAGAAATGAAGTTCTAATGAGTATATTACAACAAGTCCCATATTTTAAAAATACAATTCCATTAAAAGAAAATCAAAAATTAGGTATTCCTGAAACTATTTCTTTCGATCCTATTGACTTACCACTACAAAATCCATACACTACAAAATATATACCAGATGATGATTTTAATGATTATTCAAAAGTTCCATCTTCTAGTATTTCAATGGAAATAAATCCACCAATGATAGATAGAATTTATGATATTACAAGTGAAAGAATGAAAGAACTAGATTCACATTCTATTTCTAATCAAGTTCAATCAAATAATCAACCTCAAATTTCAACACTTATTGATAATAGTGATAATAAATCTATCGAAAGTAAACACCAAGGAAATATAACTGAAACAATGAAACAAGGAAGAAGTTCTCCAGTTTATAAACTTATGTTTAGACCTGTTGAAGACGATAGTTATTTCCAACAATCAGTCACACTACCACAACGGTTCCAGTCAATTTCTAAATTTCAACATCCATATATGCAACCGAATGTTTATATTTAAGTAATTGTATTTTGATTGAAGGAATTATTTAACCTTATCTTTTTTATTATGAAAATAAAAGAAAAATAAATCCCATAAAATATTTTAAAGAAAAATGATTTATTTAATAATCACAACCAGCTGGTGTCAATTGTAATTGTGGAGCAAATGTAATTTCATCACCACAATTATCCTTTCTTAATACTTTATCAGTACATTGTTGGAACATTGGATTTGCTTTATCTGATGTAAGAACAGTTGTGCAATATCTTAACTCAGAAACAGAATTTGATGAACATCTAAAATATGCAGCATTCTCAACTCCTATTTTCTTTGCAAGAGCATTAAGAAGTACTTTTTTACTAATTTTAGTTTTACCATCAGCAACAGCACCAGCACTCTTAAATACATTCCATGCATCAGCTTTTTTAATTAATTTAATTGCAGCATTAACATAGTCTTTAGCTCCATTCTCTCCAGTATATACATCAGTTAAACAAACTCCATGCTTATCATATTCATATTCAATGAAATGACATCGTGAAAGAGATGGCCAGTAGAATGCAATATCATCTAATAAAGCAGGATCAGATTCAATTACTTTTTGAACTTCAGCACGACTTGTAGCATATTTGCAACAAGCTGGCATAGATCCTGAAGAAAATGATGGCCACCATCCGTGCATTGTAAATCCATCGGTCATTTGACCAAGACGTGTTGGCAT